GATCTCGCCGGAATGAAATTATGAATCTTCAAGTTAACCGGAAGAATTGATTCACATTTTCATCACGAACATCAATCATAGAACTACATGTATAACTTTCAATCGAATCATTTTCAATCAAATAATAGTTGGTGACCTTGCCAGTGAGACGGTCCACCTAACGTGCCATTCACAACAAATTATTAAATTATGGTCTAAAGGAATATGTAAATTATGCAGGTTTATGCAAATGAAACCGAACACCATACCTTCAGTTGCAGTATTCCAAATATCTCTGTTTTCCAAATTTCGACTCTGATCTGTCTAAATATTTTGACGCTCGCACACATCTCTTGCACCCACCCATTTCATGACTGTACCAACGGAGATATTAAGAGTATTTTTCACGAGGAATTTCACATTTTTAAACAGGGATTTTTCAAAACAATTCTTTCGCCTGAAGAATGCATTAAAAAATGTTCAATATGCAAGGATTATGATGGTCACACCAAACGGAATATCGTCAAAAATATACAATATTCATATAATTCTGGTCAAAAAAAAGTAAAAAAAAAAAAAAAAAGAACCTTTTGAAAGGGTTAAAATAAAAAATGAAACATCATAGCATATGAAACAAATAAGGAAGGTAAGGATTCTACTAATCGTGAACCGATCAATTACCCACAGCAAGCTTTCGCTCGTTCGCATCCAAGGCATGATAGGGCAGGGCAGAGTTGATTTCCATTTTTAAAAATGTATCGACCTTAGTTTTTTTTTTAAAAAAAAAGAACCAACCGAGGGAAACTTGATCCACAAAAAAAAAAAAAAAAAAAAATGAAATGAAATGAATGAAAAAGGGGAGAATGGAAGAGTACCAAACGTACCGTTTGATGCTAAAAAAATTTGAAATAAGAGAACAAAATTGAAAAAGAAATTTTCGATGAACTGGCCTCTTCACATTAAATAAAATTTCGGTCTAACGTTAAAGATAAAACGGTAAAATAAATCCGTCACGTACAGTAAGTACATTTTGATCTAAAATTTGGCAAAAAAATTGAACTTTTTTAATTCCATAAGTATTGCATCAATTAAATCAATTAAACTGTAAAATGCGTAATTTAAAGCTAAGCTGAGTATTTTTATTAAAAAAAATTAATATGATATTCTTTCGCTATTTCTCAGTAACCTCTTTACAACGCTGCTGTGATATTGAGTTTACAAGATTGAATAGAAGGCTATCTAGAATTTTTCCACTCCACCCCTAATTCACCTAAAAAATTAAAAAAAATTAAAACGAAGCCGCCTTTTACATTGATATTAAAAGATAATATGATTCTTTCGCCATTTTTCTCAGTAACCTCAAGGTCAACCAAATGCCTTGAACCAGTTGAGCGGGAGATCTACTCCTATATCTTTCAATTTATCAGCAACAGACCCAGCAGAAATTGAGGGTTGCCTTCGAATGTATTGTCCAATTACCCGAGATGTATTTGTCGTTATTTTTTTTAATACGTCCGTTATCACCTTTATGCTTTACACCTCTAGTATTTTGGATTTTTTTAAGGTTTCGGCGGATAGTACTAATTGGAATCTTTGTCAAACCTTGTATTTCAAATAGCATATCGTATTCTTTGCTTCCAGTAATGTAAAATAGTTGTTTCTTGCCTTTATGAAATTCGATAAATTTAATTTTTGTTAAAGTGTGGGAAGGATTTCGCTGTAAGGTGATAGAGTGATTGTCATGGCTTTCATTTGCATATTTATTTTGTAATTCTAACCAAAATTGGGCAAGTTATCCTTGTTGAAAATTTTTTCTGTCACCTGTTCTTCGAAACATTTTTTTTTATGCGTGAAAACATCAAGCAGAGGAAAAAAAAAAAAAAAAAAAAGAGCTTTAATCATATTTGTCCAATAGATACTTGATGCAACATCAGGTACATATTGCTACAATCATAGGTTTTACGCCACTTATCCTCACTTATCCTCTAAATCAAGTACTAATCAAGATTATTATTGACATTAATTTTTTTTTTTTACTTATGTGTTACATAAATAATTTTATCTTTTGGTAAGGCTCGAAAAGAAAATTCGGAGAACTTTAAATTTACAATATATGTGAATATAGTAGTTGAATGATCGTGATGTAAGATCTCCATTGCATTATTAAGAATGAAAAAAAAGATAATAAGGGGACGAAATTCTCATTTGTGACAAGTTAAACGGAGGGATTAATCAATATTTGAATCCCTTGAAAAAAAGTTTGTAAATAAGAATTGTCCCTATAAAAAATAGTTTAATGGTAACCGCAGAACGTGCATCTAAGAAATATATATTTTCTTCAAATATTTAGCAAGGTAAAAGGAGCCCATTGAGAACGAAAAAGAGGATTTACTCTGAGCGTGATCCTTGGGTCAAGATGAACCTTTAACAAGAAAGAGTCACATCTAGAAAATAAAATAGGTAAAATATCTTGTATTAAGGAACCTCATAAATGACTGAAGAAGGATGCTGCGGATTTTAATTACCGGTCACATATAAACCATATTTAATGAGCAATCATGGACAATTTGTGATTACGAAAGTGTTTTTCTTGATATTAAACAGTATTTCTTATAAAGGGCTTATTAACCGAAAATTTGTATTCTGCAAAAAATTTTTAAATGTCGAATTTATTTATTTCTAGATTGACTCAAAACTTTTTTAAAATTTGCTTGAAAGATGTTATTATCAAAGTTGGAGACAAAAGAATTTTGCATATTCTAATAATTTGAGAACTAGCTCTTATTTGAATGTATTTACAAAAGACAATAATAATATGTTTAATAAATTCTTTCGCCTACAAAATGTTAATGCTTTATTTATTCTGATAAAGGGCACCTTATTCATAGAATACGATGAATTAATTTTGATGAATTGGCGACAAGGTTAATATTTAATTAAAATAAAAGTGGATGGTTAATGTTGAAAAGACGAAAACACTATTGAGGATATTTAAATTAAAAACAAACAGGATTATTGATTACTTTTAACGTGTGTTAAAAGCTATTAAAAGAATAAAATTTTTTTAAAAAGAAAGTGCTCTTTTTTCAAATTTAGTGTATATTTAAAACTATAGTTGCGGGGCAAATCCCTAAACCTATTTTAGCAAAAGTCGAAACTTTTCAGAAATTATTTAAGTTTCGATAATAACTTTGCGAATTTGATGATTTAACAGGTTTTTTTGTAACGATTTTTTTTTTGCTTTTTATTTTAAATTTAAATTTGGGAGCAATGTTATTTGTTGAAGAATTAGAAAAAATTACCTTATGAAGAAGATGATGATAAAGGTTGGAACTGGGTTTATTTTTATATCCAAATTTAATTCCGAATATCGAATCTCTATTTCAAAACAAAATCTGTGCAGATCAAATAAATTTTTTTTAAAGCTTAATAAATTATACTTGCATGATAATTATTACGGTCTCGGTGCTGTAGTAGAGTCTAGTTTTGTGCTCGGATTTAAATTCGAACTGGGTTTTAAATCTGAATGTCGAATCCGGTTCCAATCTCTAGATGATGATTTTTCAAATGAAAGTTTAATGAATGAGAAGAAGATAAGAATACTGAAGGACAAATGAGAGATAAATGATGTAACTGGACTTGACGAAAAATAAATTAATTCAATTTCAATATGTAAATTTTTGTTTTTTTTTTTTCTTATCCTTTATAAATATATGCTCATCTCGTTAAATAAAATAATAATAAATTTTTAAAATCAAAAATTGTATTTTTATATTAGAACGTTTTGATGGGTTTTGCCACCCATCAAAACTTTCGCAATTTTGCCTTTAATAAAAATCTTTGGCAAAACGTTTCGACGGGTTTCGATTTCGATGCCTGTCGAAACCTCCGGATTTTGCCCGGAAACCTTATTTAAAACCTTCTCAAAATCTTTAAAAGACATATAAACAGAATATAAATTTCACCATAAAGAAGACTCAAAGAATAAAATTAAACTGTTATATAAATTTAATGAAAAAATTTTATGATAAGGATCAACTAATTCCTGATTACTAACTCCCTTGATAAGAAGAATTATGTGATTCACATATTATTATTACGTAATTTTTTTTAGATTTTTATTTAATTTTATTTCTCAAAAAATGAAATCAAAGAAGACCGTAAAATTTAAATATTGCTCGTGAACTTTTAAATAATCCAAGTTTACAACCTAAAATATACAAAAATACTGACATCAAAAAGGCAATTTATTTTATCAAAACAAGTCATGAGTTCAAAACACAGAAAGGGCAACATAAAACTGGCTTGAATTCTGTAAAATTTCGAAAAAATATGATTGAATCTTATCCACAAGATAATCAATACAATACAAGATTCCATTGAATCTTATTTCAGATATATCTACATTAGAAAAATCAGGTGGCAGGTTTAATTGCTACTATGAAAAAAAAAGATGGAACTGAATATAAAGCATTATCAATAAGACAAGCTGTTGAGGGGATTAATCGATATTTAATAGAATTTTCAACTATTTATGGAATCAATTTACGTGATAATCATCAATTTCCTATATTAACAAAAGTTCTTGATGGTAAAATGAAAGAATTACAAGATAAAGGACTTGGAGAAATAAAAGGATCTGCTGCTTTAACTTGACAAAATATTGCAAACATTTTATCAAATCAAGCAACATTAACATTAACTCCTGATACACTCATTAAAGAATATTTTTTCATAATGCCTTTCTTTTAGCTTGTCGAGGTGGTGAGCATTATCAGTTAACAGTTGATCAATTTAATTTTCGAGATGATGGTGGAATTGATTTCAATGATTTCGTGCAAAAAAATAATTTAATTTTAAAGGACCATGCTATGATTATCAATTATAACTATTGGATGCAGATTCAAACTTTTATTTACAAACAGATCCAAAATGTAAGTTATTTTATAAAAATTTTATAAAGTTTACAAACTTATAATTTATTAGGGAAAAAAACTGGAAACTGGTATCGTAAGCAACATATTGGTAAGAATTCACTATCTAAATTTATGAAGGATCTTATTCATGAAACTGGCATTGAAATTGATGGCTTATTACTAATCATTCTGGGCATTAAATATCATCACAACTAATGCAAGATATAAATGTAGAAGAACAAATTATTATGAATATTTCTGGACATCGAAGTGTTGATGCAGTACGAAAATATAAAGTGCCAAATGATCAACAAAAAATGAATACCTTGCAACAACTTATTTCTACTTATAATATAAAGAACCAAGAATCTAAAAATCAAGTTCAAAATATTAATCAAGAAATTTATGAACCTGTGCAACAAATTCAAGATTACAATAAGAAACCATTACAAACTTCTAAAATTACAAATCTTGAATTACAAGATTTACCAATTAATATGCATCTCAATAATAGTAGTAAAGAAAAGGCTCCGATGTTTAATAATTGTCACTTTCAAAATGTTAACTTTTACTTTAAATAATTTTTATTTATAATTAAAAATAATATAATATTATTAAATGCTTTTTATATATCAATCTTATTAAAAATATATTAAACTTTTTGCGGTACGATTTTTCGGTAATTGCGTCATGTTGATATTTTTACGGAAAATTCAATTCCGATGGTGAATCCGGTAAAATATCAATATGAAACATCACGGGCGAACAATTAGTGAGCGGGTAATATAGAATTTGATATAGCAGATAGATCTTTAGAGCAAAAACAAATTAATATTGTTAATACACATATTATTGAAACTTATTCGCAAGCATAAAAGTTGTTTATGTAATTGACCAGGGCAATGAATTACTGGTAAGGGAATTAACAAAACTTTAAAATCAATTTCTGGGTCATTAATTAACAATCAATTCGCTGACACCCGTTCACTAACGTTTCGCCGCCGATAATCATACCATTTAATATATTTAAAATGAAAATCACAATATACAACCGACAGAAGAACCCAAATCCCCGCAGCTTACAATACTGTCATCCTTTTGAACTCCGACTAAATCATTTAATTATATAAAACTTAAAATACAAATTTATTTAATAAAATTAATGATTCCGAACCTATTTTTTTTTTTAGCCGTCGGTGAAATGATCATGTCGAAACGGGTATCGGCAAAATAATTGAACGGTATTATTAAATTCGACAAATATATTTAGGATATTTTATTAATTTTCAATGAATAATGGAATGGAGTAAACATTTAATATTTGTTTAACAAACGTTTTTAATTATTTTGCTTGTATTTTTTTGACTAATGGACAAATGTAAAAATATGCGATTTATTTTCTTTTTTTTTTGTAAAGTGTTGGTTCCGAATTTTTATTTTTAAATCTGTGCATATATTTCGAGATATGGATATAGTAAGATTGGAATGAATAAATTGTGTATTACCAAGTAATAATAAGACTAGAGCACATAATCACTTGATCTAATTCAATAAATAGATAAGAGATAGTAAAGTTTGTAATTTTCAATTCACTATGCATGTTAAAAATAACAATGGTAATAAATATTTAGCCATTTGTTCGCACATTGTTTTTTATATACTTAATTGGTCTAATTTTAAAAAACAAAATATAACGGTCACTTAACTATCGTCTTCATGATCAGGCATAACGAATAGTATCACATTGAAAAAAGATTAGAGGAAAGAAAATCTTTGAATCAATAGGTTATTAGATCTCAGCATTAGTAGTATTATGAGGTGGAAGAATTTATAGAAAAATGTTAGTGCCAACTTTTATGGTTGTCCTTTAGTATGAATTCAATTTAGGAAAAATTATCAATTAAATTAGTCAATAATAATTAAGCAGCAGCTATAATTGAGAAATTTAACTTTTAATTCAGAGAAGAGAGAAGAGAAGAAAATTTCCGATTTTATTAGGCATGCTATTATCCAAATCTAATTGATGTTGACAATTCTGCTAAATATTCGAATCATTTGTTGTAATCGAGATGCTGAAATGGAAGAAAGTTATCGTGATGATAGAATGCTTCGGAAAAATCGTTATATCAACAAGTAGCTTTGATAATTTCCAAGGTGAAGAGTCGTCGTTTCTTAGTTCGTAATTTCTTTGGGTCTTGATAATGTCACGTGCTCTAGAAAGGATGTATCTTATTGGTAATTCTGAATCGATGGAAACAAGAAAGATATTTTGGCTCCTATTACGAATAGGAAATCCTTCATAATTTGGTTTTGGTATGCCTAAGAAATTTGCACAAGTTAGTTCGTATGGTGGATGCTTTAAGGTAAGGATAACTAACTACTGCTTAAGAAATGCAAGTTGTCTTCATATGTATTTATTTTTTTATGCTAAATTTTGTTTCAGGAAACACTTCCATGCGGACATAAATGTCCTCAAGTTGAAATTAAGTTTAACATGGTTGTGAACACTTAATTTTGAAATACTACGTATTCGCAAATTTAAAATTAAAATCAAATGTTTGAAAAGCAATAACTAGTTGTGAATGTTCTTTAATGATTTTATTAATTTTTTACTCATTTTCTTATTAGTTAGTGATCACAAGAACTAGCACATGTTATGTGAGTCACCAATTAATCAAATGATTACGTGAAATTGCTATTTTTATATATTTACGTGAGTTTGAATAATCATTTGTATTTATTCTTTTTCTCTCGTCAAAAAACATGGATAGTATTTTTGATATCATTATTGGCCTTTCTTTGGAGATAAAGGAAAAGAGTATGTTATGCGCTTATTTCTATAAAAATTCTCAAGAAATAAATGATGTGATTTGCGTACTTAATAAATTCCCAACGCCTGAGGGAAAAATCGAATTTTTGAGAATAACTTTCTTGTCTTCCGGTATGTTTTAAAATATTGTGTCTTCTATTTTTGTTATCTCAACTAACTTTTCTTTGTCTTTTAATCCAATTTAGACGATGGATGGAATTGAATATCAAAGTAAGCTTATATTTCATCGTAAATAACGAACATGCACTGTGACATTAATATTGAACATCTTAAACTTCTTAGGACTCAAAGGGAAAAGAAAATTTTCAGAAGAGTGTAAGAAAGTGTAATAATCACTTATTTTGATTTCATACTCTCACAAGTTCTTTTGTTTTATTAGTTAGCATATTCTCAATACCAAATAAAAAGAAATTTAGTGTTAACAGTACAATAATGCCGTGGGAATATAAAAATGTCTATTTTGTGGTCCCGGCCGAAACGAACGAAAAATTTCGAATTAATTTGAGGGTGAATATGTGTTGTTACACGGTACAGTGCTTCTGGGAAATCGACGAAAACGTTACGAGCAATGGAACAGCTGGGAAAAAAAGGATACATTTACATTTAGTCAGCAAGTTTTACTTACTATTGCATTGCTTGAAAAGTGAACTCTAATTTTTTTTATTTTGTTTCTCCATTCTGCTAAATAGTTATGCCTTTAGCTATTTATCTGAAAGTGTTGATAAATTTTGGACGATTGTTGCCAGAAGTATCAGGAGGCAACTGGCTAAAAAATATAAGATGGAATTCGGAGATACTAAATCTTTTAAATCTCATAATATTGTTATGGAAACACTAGACGACATAATGGAAGTAATTTCGGACAATGCAGAGATTTGAAGCTATTTTAATGGGGGTAGAGAGAACATAGTTCTTTTCTTTGACGAATTAGATATTTTACTTTCATCAAGACTCAACAAAGTCTGCAACTAGTTCTTATCTAACCTTCATGTTATTAAAACCGGACCTTCAAATGTAATAAAATCCGTTATTGGAATTGACACATTCAGCATCTTAGATTTGAACGTGTCAGATCGGTCTCTGTCACCATTCAATATTAACTATGCATTTGCAAACCCGAATTTCACCAATGAACAAGTAAAACTTATTTTCAAGGATTTTATGAATGACCGTGAATTAAATCGGATCGTAGATGATATCTACACATCGATGAAGGGGTATGTTATCTGTGCAGATGTTTTCAGTGATTACATGCCATGTATAGTGGTCAAGGATAAGATCCTAGACTTCCATGCCAGCATTTTTTTAAACAGTAATTTTATAGTTCATATTGGTAATTATGTAAATTCTTTTTTAATAGACATACTGGTTTTGTGAATCTGTGAGGGCGTGCAGTTGAAGCAATCGATGGAGAATCTTCATCATGGATACTTTACAAAATCAATAATTTGGGAACGGAAATTTCTAATTATTCAACGTTTTCGAGAATCATGGACCATAATGAACTTGAATTAGCCAGGTTTCTGGCATCCGAAGGTGTCTTGATATATGAAGAAGACTTACGAAATTCAAAAATATTTAGGATCTCTTCTCCATTAATAGATTTATACTCATCCGGCAATTTATCATTCCTAATTTATACCCATTATCTCCACTAAATGTGGCTCCCCTGTGAAATGACAATGATCTGGACACTTTATGTATTTTAAAGGAGGCACTCTGCTACTTAGATAAAGACATAATCCAAATGGGATCATCTCGATTGTTCAAAATTGCGTCTGAACTTGTTAACGGCAAGACTAAAATGCGAGTTCACGAGAAAACACCTATGAAAATGAGTTATATAGGATTCTTATAAACTGGCTCTCCAAGGAAGGTGTTGAAATTACCGGACAATGTCAACTAAAGATAAACAGTAATGACTTATATAGTGGTTAAAAAATATGATCAATTAATACTTCTCGAATTATTAGCAACTCTAACAAAAATACAACTCGATGAACATTATGATCGCGTACTTGTTTATGCAAAAAGTCTTTCCGTGACTGAGACATGGGTCATCAATTTTACCTGTTGCTGAATTGTACCTCTATTTAGGGATGGTAATGGTCGGTCGTGGTCAGTCAACGGTCAGTTAACAGTTGGTCAAAGGCCTTTGACTGACCGACCGGTTAACTGACCGATTTTAACTGACCAGCTGACTGACGGTTAATAATAATATAATTGAGCAGTTTTGACTTAATAGAAATTTTAATTTAGTCAAATATTATAATTTTGATTCTTGCTTTAATACTAGTATAACATTTTTTTTAAAATTACTTTGTCATTTTTATTTAGTAATGCAGAATTATCGTGGAATTTAATTATTTTTAAAATTTAAAAAATTTTAATTTATAGATAATTAAAATAAAATGTTGATTTTATTAATGTTTTTACTATTTATAACAAAATTCAAATATGCGGATACTCGGCAAATTTGATGCCAGGTATTTATCAGGTTGTCGGGTTGTCGGTGTCAGTAGTTTCAAAAAAATATCAATAAACACGTGATAACCAATTATGATTCACTATTTACTATTCAGTTTTCTTTTTCTTCCATTTTATTTCTCTTGTTTGACAAGTACGATTTATACCATAATTATTTTGACAATTTAAGCAAATAAGACAAATAGAACATGCAATTCAATTTTTGTAACAGTATTACAATGAAAATTTTAATAGTCGTACAAAATATCTAATATATATTAGTAAAAATATTGTTTATATAAAACATGAGTTATACTAATAATATAAATAACGTGTTATTGATACCAAACTATCTGACAAATATGGTCTCGCATATTTTGAATTTTGTTGTAAAACATGGTTGTTCAATCTCAAGTCAACCAGTCAACTAGTCGGTCAAAGACTGATATCAGTCACAATTATGACCAGTTATGACCGATCATGACTGTGACCATTAGCATCCTACCCCTATTGGCTGTCAGATAAAGTGTTGGAGAATGGTGTTCAAATTGTATATTTCAAATATAATCCTAGCAATTTCACTAAGTTCACATGGTTATGTACTCTTGGGATACGATTAGAAAAAAATGCATCACTAGTATTAAATTGATTGAGATGCTAAAGCTGTGATCTGTAACTGTACCTTAATTAATTATATGATTAAAATGATTAACAAAGTTGACAAATTAGACTAAGTTTCTAAAGTGGTCATCATTAATCTATTTAATACATTAGATAGATTAATTATATTATTTATAATCATTATATTTGATAATTATATTACTATTAATAGAGTAGTTATATTTATCTTTTATATCATATTTGTTATTGTATATTTTATAGTATTTTATTTTATATAAATATCTTGTATTTTCCCTTAAGTTAAAAGTAACTTGAGATAGGGTTTTAGGATAAACAAGAGTTCAATAAAAAAATCTTATAAATTCATTTACTATTACCTTTTATCATATCTTCATATAGGCATGACTGTTATAAAGTCTTATATTTAATTTAATGAATTGAATTAAAAGTTTTTCATTTAAGTTTACAGATACCAAGCTAACAAATGTGGTGATTCCTATCAGAACTTCTAGCTTTTTAGTGAATAAAATTTGATCTCTACCTTATATTATAATGAAATCATATTCAATAATACTCTAAAAATAGAAGTTACTTATCAACTGACTACACTTGTATAATTTGTTATCCACCTTCAGAAGAAGTATCTGTACCGTTCAAATATTTTTGGAATTGGATTAGTGCTGAATTTGATGCCCTTGTATATACTAGAAAAATAGTAACTTTATTTAATCAGTATCAATAAAATTTTAGTGAATTACAACTTATTAAAACTCTTAAAAGAAAAGCTAAATTATTGTTGCATTGCTTAACCTTTATCAACCCTTTTGATTTTATATTTAATTTTGACTTCATTGCTATTCGTATCTTAGAAAAATCTTATTTTTCAGTCAATTTTAAACGTTCTATAGCAACAGAATTACAACCTTTAGTACCTCTTTTATTAGAACCTTTAAGAAGAAACATAATAGATGCAGATCAATTTAATGCCTTCATCACTCAACTCACAGCTTCTATTGATCAACTTACTCAAGAAGTCTAAAAAACCTCAATAATAACCACCTGCAAAAGTAACTAATTTAGTTCTAGTAAAATGTTTCTCAGAAAGAAGTGAAGAAGACTATAACTGCATCTTAATTAGTCATATGATTAAAATGATTAACAAAGTTAATAAAGTGAACAAATTAGACCCAGTTGTTAAAGTGGTCATTATTGATCTATTTTATACATTAGATAGATTAGTTATATTATTTATAATTATTATATTTATTTATTGGTAAAGTAGTTATATTTATCTTTTATATTATATTTGTTATTATATATTTTATAATATTTTATTTTATATAAATATCTTGTATTTTTCCTTGAGTTGAAAAATAACTCAAGATAGGGTTTACGATAAATTAAGAGTTCAATAAAGAAATCTTATAAATTTATTTACTATTATCTTTTATCATATTTTCATATAAGCATGACTGTGATAAAATCTTGTATTTAATTTGACAGATTGAATTAAAACTTTATCATTTAAGTTTACAAATACCAAGCTAACTGTGTATTTTATACTTATATTGTAAATAATTCTTTACCTAATCTTTATTTATTCTAACCTTTGCTTGATTTTCAGATTTATTAGCTGATAAAAATCGTTATAAAAAAAAATAAAGTTATTATTTGCGTTTATAGGCTTTTAGTTTATTATTCATAATATTCAACATTTAATTTATGAAAATTAAATATAGTAATTTCTTTATAGGAAAGTTTACTAAAATCTGAATAGATCAGGAATATAAAAGATTAATCATTTCTTCATATTATTACTTTTAGCTTAAAAATAAATAATACTGTATTAATCAAGATGTTAGCTATTTTTAGATTCTTCTTTCAAGTCCATAAGATTTTTTTTGTCTTTGATAACTTCAAATTAGATTTGTGATAAAGGGTTTAATACTTTATCTTTTATTATTATTATTTTTATTTTGGCAATTGATTTGTAATTTTTATATCTTATCTTTAAGGATTAAAAAAATTTCTTTTTAGATTTTTTCATTAAATTATTTATTTATTTATTTTCTAATGAATTATTAGGCTACAGCATTTATTAAGTTTACTTTTAATTTTTATCTACATTTTAGTTCGATCATAGCTGTAGCATTTAATATTTTTATTTTCCTATTGTTATTTATTATTTATATTATATTTTCATAGTGATTATAATGTAATGGCTAATTATTGAATCACATTTAATAAGATTATTTGAATACTAAAAAATTTTATATATTATTAAATACTATATTATACATTGATATTATGATTCAAATTTCAATTTTAATATAAATTTTATTAAGCATCCCATTAATATAATTATAATAATAATAAATAAATTGAAACTTGATCAATAATTTATGGTTAAATCTGAAAGTAATCCAAAGAAAATAGAAAATAATAAAAATAAAAAAATTATAGATGAATTTTTAACTTCATTCACTTGTATAAATAAAAGTTAAAGTAAATCAAAATAAGAAACTTAAAGTACTTATGCTTCTTTTTTTTCAAAAAAAAATAAATTTTTTGCGATAAACCATTATGATAAAAAATTTTTATATTCTAATTTGCATATGTTACTTAAAGATGAAGAATATCTAATAAACAACTAATAATTAATATAAAATTATCACAATTTAGCTTATTTAGTTGTTTTGAAAGTAGAATGAAAATAAAAAGTAATTTAGATTATTAAACTATTCTAATATTTAAAATAATGTTTTATAAGATACAGCATAAAAGTTTATCAAAAATATATTTATTTCATTTCCTGCAATATGATTCAAAGTTGTTGTGATGAAAAATCCAAATTTCATTTGGCAAAAGTCAAATTTTTGAAAGAAATTTAATAATATTGAGGATTTCAACAATTATGAACATTTTAAATTTAATAGCTTTAACAATTTTTGAAGATTTAACAAAAATTTGCAAAATTTAACATGTGTAATTATTGGTTAGATTATAATAATAGCTAAGGTCTCATATGATTAAAGTTTCATGCCACCTATTTTATTTAGAGATCTTGAAAGAGATTCAGAATAATGAATAAAGTTAAGAAAAATTAACATAAATTTTTCTCAAATTAAAATTCCTAATTAATTAATTGATTTTAAATTGTAATTATACTTGAATATAAATCAGGATTTTTAAAAGTTGAAAGATAATTATAAAACCTCAAAAATTTATTGATTTTTAATATCGTCAAAACTTTTGGCACTTTTGAAATTTTCATGGTTTACCTTTAATAAAAATTTGATAAATGTTAAAACAAGTATCAGCAACTTTAAAAATAATGTTTGATTATATAATATAATTTATTTACTTGTCAAATCTTAAAGTTAATATACAGCCTGTTTTTTTTGAAAATTTTGCTAAAAAATCTCTCTAAAAATTTTTTAGAACTTTTGCATATTAATTAGCATACTTTATGTTCTTTTTGAAAGATTTTATACATTAATTAAATAAAATTTTCAATTAAAATTATCTCAAATGGCAATGTATTATTATATATATAAAAATTATTATTTTT